CCAAGTGCCTCTAGCACACAAGGAACAGAGTAGAGCCTGGAAATGGGCTTCTGGACAATGCTGGTGCTTGCCCATGGGGCTGGTGTCTAGCTGGCCAGAATGCCAACAGCCTCCCTGCCATCAAGTGCTGCAGTCAGTGGCATTATTTATCCTATCAAAGCCACCGAAGAGACAAACCATGTTCCCAGTGCACTAGCTGCTGGGGATTGCCCTCTGAGTGGAAGAATCTCCATCACCAATTCCCTGCTGAGGGACCTCAGGTCCCCAAGGCGAGCTGATTTATCCACAGTGGTGGGGTGTGAGTCTGTGCAGAGTCACAGTTAGCACTGGGGACTCTGTGATCTAATTCAAAGAGAATTAGCAGAAGAGGAAAGGGATCTGCAGCCCACTGAGCCACGTGGCATTGCCAGGCAGGAGGAATTAAAGATTTTAGGTTTTCTTCCTGTTCAGAAAACAAGCAAGTGTTTGGGAGCCATTCTCACCTAATTTTAACTCTTCCCTGACACAGGGACATGGTGAGGGAAAGACCTCACCTAAAGCATTCATTTAACCTGAGGAGGTGTGTGCCACTCTGGACGGAGCTGAGTGTTTCCAGCAGCTTCAGATGAACAGCAGAGAGAAGGGAGGACCCTGCTGTGCAGCGTCCTATGAATTAGATGGAGAAGCTCAGCCAGAAAGCCCAGTGTGGTCCCAGGGGAGAAAACAAAGCTTGGGTGTGGGCCGACAGAAAAGCCTGAGATTTGGGACAGATTTTTACTTCTCTAGAAATACGATGATCAACTGGAGATAGCTGTGTTGATAGACTACTGCTTCTCTTGCAACCATGTGGACCTGACCTTGACCCCTAAAACACGGGTAAATAACCCACCATCACGCCTGCACTTCTAATCCCAGCTCTGGGGAAGTGGACACAGGCAGATTCCTGGAGCTCACTGGCCAACCAGCCCAGCATTGCTTGGTGAGTTTCAGGCAGTGAGAGACCTTGTCTCAAAAAACAAGGCAGAAGGCAGGAGCAGTGACACCACGGTGGGCCCTTCTGGAGATGCTGGCCAAAGGGAAAGAAGAATGTGGGTCCCTCATCCCAGGCTGGGGTGCTTGAATTGAGGAAAATGGCAGCAAAGGGTGGGGATGCAGACACAGTGATTTTCCATGTCTGATGTGGTGTACAGAAACAAAAGGGAAGGAGGACCAGGATTGGTGGTCAGACTGCAGAGGCTATGGATGGCTGGGGGTGGCAGTGATGGGATAGGATGTGCCTGTCCATGCCATGAGCCAGGGAAGGCAATCAGGCAGGGACCACGAGGAAGGAGGTGAGGGAAGAAGACGGCGGCACCACCCCTACTCTTCACATACACAAGCAGATGGAGCTTAGACATCTCATGGATTAGGTATGGGCCATAACACATCCATGAGGCAGGCCTCCCCAGATCCTGTGTGGACAGCTGGCTGGACGTCCACAAGGAAGGCAGGCTAGAGACAGAGGACCTGAGGAGGGCTAGAATAGACGTCTAGGACCTCTGCTCTCACCAGGGGTCATTTTGTTCTTGGATTAAAGAAACCTTTGTTCTAAGTCAGGCAGAGACAACCAGACATTAACCTTGTGATACTGCCCCTGTGGGGGCCAGCAGGGAGCGTCAGAACCCCAGCAACCCATTGTGCCCCTGTGGACAAATAGCAGTGGCAGCTGTGTTCGTGGTGATAGGCAGTGCCCACCCCTCCAGAGTGTGGATGGCTGGAACACATACATCTCCACACAGACATGCTGCAATCTGGATGCTACAGGAAGGACAGTAAGAGGCAGGGTCCATGGTCACCCCATCACTGACCCCATCCCCAAGGCAGGCATTTCCCAGCAGGCGTGCCCGGCCTCAGCTGCCCTCTCCTACCTGCTCGGGAGTGCAGCATGTTGGAGCACAATCTGCTCGACAGATAAAGTCGAGTCGTTTTGTTAACAAGAACTCAGATTAGATTACTCTGTGATTACATGGTTCTGCGGTGTGATAAATTGCTTAATAACAGGATTCCCAATGTAGTTGCTTAATGGGAATTCAATAATTACAGGTGCTCAGGATTGGACTGTTAGTCTAGGAAATGCTGGCCACCCCCCGCTGTTCTGACAACTCCAAGGCTATCTGGGACAGTTGAAATGGCCTTGACTTGGAGGGCAAACTTAAGTACATGCTGAACAAAACAGCTCTTCCATGACCAACCTGCCACATTGCACAGACTCCTGACAGGCTCTTGCCTGCCCAGTTCAGTGTCCAAGCTGAGAACTCTCTAACATTTCTCTTGACCCAGTTGTAAAATCAGGGGTCAACACATACTGATACGAAGAAAGTAAGATTTGAATTGCACTCAACAGAATAGAGGCTCTTTTATAGACTTGTTTCTTTGCTGGAGAACTTGTCCTTACTGGAATTCAGTAAGATAAAAACTAGCTCTCCTTGAACTGAAGTAAACGGAAACACAAAGAGAACAACACCCTTAACAGGACCGCCTGCTTGCTAAGGTGCCCCATGCAGGCAGGCTGCAGTGTCACAGGGTCAGAGCATCCTGAGGTTGGCAGTTTGCACACTTATCGCTAAGAGGAACCAGGCCTCCACTGCCACATACTCATTTTGGATTAGCAAGACTTGAGCTCATGAGATTCAATTCTATTTCATGAAGAGTCGGGTCCTTTGAAAAGAGGACTTTGGGGCTGGAGAGATGGATCAGTGCTTAAGAGCACTGACTGCTCTTGCAGAAGACCCGGGTTCAATTCCCAGCACACATATGGCAGCTAACAACCATCCTAACTCCAGTTCCAGGGGATCTGATGTCCTCTTCTGACCTCCATGGGCATTGCATAATATGGGTACACTTACATACATGCAGGCAATACATTCATACACATAAAATATTTTTTTTTAAAAAAGAGAACTTTATGCTGGGCGTGGTGGTGCACATCTTTAATCCCAGCACTCGGGAGGCAGAGGCAGGTAGATCTCTGTGAGTTCAAGGCCAGCCTGGTCTACATAGTGAGTTTCAGGACAGCTGGGGCTACAGGGAGACCCTGTCTCAAAACCTGTTTCAAAAAAAAAAAAAAAAAAAAAAAAAAAGAAAAGAAAAGAAAAGAAAAAAGAGAACTTTAAAATGGAAAAGAGAATGGGCTCTCAAGTTGTCCTCTGACATCCATCCTCTGATGTCCACATTCATGCTGTGGCATCTGGGAACATGCAACACACACACACACACACACACACACACACACACACACACTCTAAATGTAAAAAATGGAGAAGAAAATAAGGGTTCTTGTAGAAGGAGTCAACAGTCACAAACCTCTTGACAATGATTTAAAAACTGAGTAACATTACAGTCTTAGACAATAAGAAAAATGGTATGTGGAATTTACAAACATCAAATGCTCTATTAGATGGGGCTTGAACTTGTTTTTAAAACTCCAGATAATACAGCTTTGCTGTTTTGTCTTTTCCAAAATGTCAAAATTTGGCTAGGATTAATGGTTCTCTAAATCAATAGGATTTCATGTTTATAAATGGTTTATGGGTTCACTGGTTATAAAATGTTATGAACTCATGCATTATCATTATTACCGAACCTTTACTGAAATGTACTGACATTTAGTCTGGCATCTGGATGGGACAAGTCGAGAGAACAAAGAATTCTCCAGAGTCAGGGTCCAAACTACAGGACTTCAAAGAGGGGAGAGGGAGTAGAAAGGGAAAAAATACCTCCCCAAAGCTGGATCATCAGGAAAAACAAGTGGGCCAGGGATCCAGTCCTAAATGCCTAAAGGATCTGTTAGGGGCAGATTGAGGGGAACCCCTCCTTACCAAAGACATGGCGACAACTCCACACACACTGGTCGCATTCTTTATAGAACTTTCCCAAGAAGCAACTTGTACGTTTAAACTCATCTTTAATTTTATCTTCTAACACACCACCAGGGGCTACATCTTTGCACAAACCTGTTCCCACAAAGTAATTACAATCCTGTATTGTTTTGACCAAACACTATCTATGTTGCTTCCAGAAAAACTGTGTTTGATAACAATGGAGTACCTTCCAATGGTGTTGAGATGATAATACAGCCCTCTCCCCAGGGTCCCCTGCATACTAAGGCTCTTGGGAAGGTTTTCGGCAAGTACAGTTTTGCAAGGAGAAAGTAAGCCAAGGTCATTTCAATTCATGGTGGTTTCAGGTGACAGATGCCTCTGACAAGTGGCAGCTGCACGGGATGAGAGCTTGCACGCACTAGATGTGTACATGTCAGTAACATCTGCGCCTCCTGCTGTTACCCAGCTGTCCCATTCCATGGTGTACACGGGGCCAAATCCAGAATAAATGGGATGATTTGTCCTTCACTTTTTCTATTGCAACAGATGCATGGCAGACTTCTATGTAAATTTTTGTGTAATATATGTAGGTGTATATATATATAATATACATATATGTGTATATATGCATTCATGTGTGTGTGATACATATGCACACACATGACCAAAGGTCCATGGTCAGTGCCAGGCATCTTCTATCCCTCTCCATATTATTTTCTGAGACAGGGTCTGTCAGTCACTGAACCTAGAGTGCATTGATTCAGCTAGGCTGGCTGACCAGAGAGCTCCAAGGACCTGTCTTATCACCTCCCACACCAAAACACTGGGATTCCAGATTCATGATACCATACCTGCTTTTAAATGGGAGCTGGGTATCACACTTAGGTCCTTCTGCTTGGTAAGCACTTTACCCAAGCCACCTTCCTAGCCCCCATGAGATACTTTTGAACCAACTGTGTATATTAAAATTTTAGAGGCGTGCCCATGAAAGCGTATTTTCCAGATAAAATGAATATAGTGAGAATATATCACTGTGACCTACAGTCAAGAGATTATCTTTAAACCACAGTTACATTGCAAACTGGATCTGAAGGAGCACTCTCCTGGGAGGTCACCAGATCTCCAGGATCACACACTAAACTCTGTGTTTTGGTTTTCTAGCGTGGAGTTGGACTTCAAACAGCAGGAAGACAAACTCCAGCCCGTGCTGAGGAAACTGCACCCTGTCGAGGAAACTCAGGTCGCCCCTTCGCCTTACACTCAGGAGACTTACTCCTCCACGCCCAAGCAAAAATCCAAAACTGAGTCCAAAAAGCACGGGAGATGGAAACTCTGGTTTCTTTAAGACTCGTGGGGTTGGGAGTCCCCAGGTCATCTTTCGAACCCACTGGAATTCAAGTCAATCCTTTTCCAAAATGAACAGGATCAAGGGACCTGCGGTGCCGATATGTGATCCCCGCTTCTTGCCCTGCGTACCAAACAGGCCTTTGCACCAATGGGTAATTAGCAACAAGGGACTAAACATTACCCCTTGCCAGGTGTCCTTTGCAGCTCATGGAGGTGGGATGTAAAATCCTACATAGTCAGAGATAAGGAAAAATTCTACCCCCCACCTCCCTACCTATGAATATTACATTATCAGCCTGTGATATGGTGGGCTAGCCTTCTGTCCACAGCTGGAACTTTTAATTATTTTTGATCCTTTTTTTTTTTTTAAATAATGAGAAGAAAAAGCAAGCCTTATGTTTGCAAAGGACTTCATTTTTACTTTTCATTTTGCAAATAAGCAGGGGGCGAGTGCAATTTTCAGCACATCACATTCTGGAGAAAGCACAATTTTTTTCAAGTGGTCGGAGACCATAAATAATCTCGAAAATGTGACTCTATGTATATCTGCCTTTGTGTGCCGTAGCGCTAAGCCAAGTGATCACATCTCAGTGTCACATTGACACCTCAGATTTAGCACCCTCTTCATCTCCAGATGGACAACATGTTTACTGCTCATTTTCCAAATGGCCAGCAGCCAGGAGCCCCCCACCCCAAGTCAGGACATGCCTTTAATCATTGCAAACTGACAGGGTCAGAGCTATCGGACACTAAGCTTTCTTAGATCTCCACCAAATGGTGGATTCTGGCAAGAATTTGAAAAGACCCAGAGGACGCACAATGGCAATACAGTTACCAATGAATTAGCACCTGGAGTGAGGCGGAAAGCATTTTTGTGGCTCCAGCCCAGGCGACATGATTCCCTCTGTGAGTGCAGCAGGATGTTTATACAATTCGTTACATTTTGTCAGGACTGGAGATCTGACCACCTCAAAGAAAAACAGTGGGTTTCCTTTAGCTGCTACCAAGGACAAACAATATCACCTACATTTAACCTATCAGTAAGTTGTATTAAAAGACATACTTAGGTGAAAGCTGTGACCCAAAAGTTTTTAGGTATTTTTTAAATCTGCCGTCTGTCACAGCGTTCTTCCTGACTACATGTGGCAACACCGTTATTTTTCCACTCATTCCTTTGCACCTTTGCAAGTATTTTTATAGAAACCAAAATCCCTTGGGTGTCAAAGACTTTGTCAATGTTTTCGCTTCTCATGTATGAAGTATCGACCTTATTTTGCCTTTTGTTCATTTTTCTTTTTTGTACAACTTAAATTTTGACTAGTTTGTGAGCAGATCAGAAAACCTCGTGTTGCGTGTCTGTCCGGCAGTCTCTTTGGGAAGTGCGTGCTGAGTGTCACACCTCTGAGATTAGAGGTGGCTCAGCTTTGGGAGAGGACCAGACCTGCTTTGGATGGACAAAAGCTGCTGCTCTCCAGACTCAATGGAAACTCCACTGTAGCTCTAAACATCCGGGTTATACAAGGATCTAGATCAGCAATTCGAACTGGTCTTAAAAAGTAAAGAAAAACCTAAAAGATGGTATAAGTGCTCTTTGAGGGTCAAACCACACTGTAGAAGTGTGCATAATTTAAAACACACACACACACAAATGTGCATTTATGGAAATACTATGTAAGGATTCAGTTCACTGGAACAGCAGTAAACAGACTGAGAAATATCTTTTGTGTAAGAAAGCTCATCAGGCTGGTCCTAAACCCTGAAGGAAGTGCAATTGCCCCACGTAGACTAAAACTTTAAAAATGTGTTTCATGTTTTTATACTGTTTTTAAATAATGTTACAAAATGTTGACAACCAATTCTCGTTATGTTTTAAGAATTATAATGACCTTGGTGAGTGGAAGGGAGGCTTGGCAGCTTTCGATCAAGTAAGGCTTCTGTCTAAATGAGAGTACGTGCGATGTCACTGTTTCCCAAAATTAACAGATTAAATGTTTCAGAGCCACAAAAGAAACTCTGAAGATAAACTAATTCCTCCTCAAAAATAAAAGCATCTTCGAAAATAGAAAAAAAAATTCCAACCTCATTTCACAGTCGAATTGCAATTTTCCAATGACAAAGGGTAATCCTTCTCTTGGAAAGATTTAAGTCGAAACTTTAATGCAAAAACAAGGTAAAAAGTACAGTGTTTCCTCCGATGTAGACATGGCATTACGTATAGAGGTTGAATTATTATACTTGTCATTGAGTTCTTTATTAATTTTTAAATAAAAAACAAATCAAAGAATGTTTTGTGTGGCTTCCAAATTTATTTCACGGTCTCAATACTTTGGGAAGAATCTAAAAAAATAATAAACGACAGCTATTTGGCCTAGAAGACACCTGAATGAGTTTGGAGATGGTGATACTGCTGTGTGGACTGGGTACTGCTCCATACTCACCCTGACTCAGTCAGACCTCCCTCCCCATCCATGCCTCCCCCCCATCCCCCCACCGAAACCTATCACTCTGACATACATGCTGAATCCTGTTCATTCAATGTTTGTATCCAAATGTCCTTCAGTGTAAATGCATCCACTGGAGTCTAGTCAGCCCATCCCATGGTCATATTTAAGTCATACTCTCCCTCACCCAGCAGCAATGTTCCGTGCCCTATTTCTCACTCTCTTGGGCTCTTGTTTAACTGAGCTGACATGGGTCCCATGTTGAGTCCCACCGCTGCCACAGGCTCACATGAACAAGCCTCCAGTGGCCTGGAAGCCTCCACCTCCCTATGTTCATGAACCGGCCCTGACTCTTACAGTCTTTCGACCCCCTCTTCTGCAGTGGTCCCTGAGCCGCGGGTGGGTGACGTTCCATACAGGAGTCCCCTCCTACAATGTACAGTCTCTTACTCTCCAGAACTTGGCCAGTCGTGGCCTTCTGCGTGCATCGCACTCTGATGTACATGGAAGCCTTGGGGGTGAGAGCTGAGGGATGCATTAGCCCTCTGCCCCTTATTCCACTGTGTTCCACGAGCCTTAGTTGTAGAGATTCAACTGCAGATGTGTCACCTAAGTACTGGGTATCTCCAAGGCATATGTTCTCTGTCTTGACCAGATGTGCAACTTTGCAGGAGCCTCCATCTGTTGCAAAAAGATGCTTTTTGATGAGTGCTGTACAGTATGCTTGTCACTCTAAGGGAGGTCTCTTCTATCTGGTACTGTGTTCCCTGCAAAGCAGCTCCCAGGTATGCATTACGTATTAATGTTCAGATACTCTATGTGCATTTTTTATAGGGTTTCTAGGACATCACTTTTCCCTCTAGGGTTCCTAGCAGGGGGCTAGGAAACAGAGTTAACATTTTTGGGGGGGGGGTCTTTTTGAGACAGGGTCTTCCTGTAGCCCCAGCTGTCCTGGATTCACTATGGAGACCAGGCTGGTCTTGAACTCAGAGATCTGCCTGCCTCTGCCTCCGGAGTGCTGGGATTAAAGGAAACAGAGTAACATTTTAAGAAATGCAGGCTACATACAAGTTTACAACACCATGTGTTGCCATATTCCACGGCCCAGCTAAGGGAGTTTCTCTAAAGCATCCATCAAGCAGGCTGCTGGCCCAAGAGGAGAAGCCACCTCTTTCCTTTCTTCTCTGTCCTCTTGAGTGGGAGACAGTCACCCCAACTGGGATGAATACTCCAGTTACTTACTGAGACCCACCCAATGCCATGCATTGTCTACAGGTAGCCACATCAACTGTGGGAGGAGATGTGCCACCTGCATATGATACCTGTATATAAGCTTCCCACCACCCTTACATGTAGCGAAGAAAAAATGGAGATGAAGGCAGGAGCTGTGAACAGAAGGAGGAGGGGCCGAATGTACCGTAAGTGCAGAGCGGAAGGACCAGTACACAGCCATAGTCTAAAACCAGCTCCGAGTCAGCTGCTGGGGCTGCCTGAGAGCACGTCTCCTATAAACACTAAGATGCCACAGAGGGCATTCTACCACATAGGAGCCTGTTGTTCTTAGAGAAGCATGTCCCTCATGTCAGAGGTCCAAGGCCTGTCTGCACCTGCTCCTTCCACTGGCCTCAGATAAGTGTGAGGCCAGTTTATTTATTGGAAGAGAACAACTGTCCGATACAAACATGAGAAGTACCGTCCAGCTTGGCGAATGAGGATGAGCTAATTATGCTATAATATGTATTTTGGCAGGTCACAGGTCCTGTGAAAGCTACTCATTAGCTTTCAAACACCGCAATAATTAATTTAAGGCACCTTTGCTGTCCATGTGAATATGTATGAATTACAGAGTCTATTTTGCCCATGCGATGATAGGATTTTTATTTTCTCCGAGGTAAGCCAATTATGAGTGCTCAATCTTGAAGAAAAAAAAAAAAAAATACTAGGACATGGGAATGTAAAAAAGCAAGGAAAATAGCTCTGCAAACACCAAATAAAAATGAACTAATAAAGTCATTGCTCCCACATAGGCATACACTAGGGTGCATTTCCAAAGACCTGGAGTTTCTTACACAGATTTATCAGCCAACAGTATAGTTGAACATTTGTATGATGCCCTTATGCAAAAGCTAGCGCTCCCATTTGAAACATTATGATGTATTTTTTTCTCTAAGTGAAGTTTTTTGTTTTTTCTTTTTGGAAAAAGCACATTTATACTTTAACTCCAAGAAAATACACTCCTCAAAGCCAAAGCTCACGCATAGAGATGTAGCGAGTCGGTGACACTGTTTCATTTCGAGTCCTGGCGAAATTCTCTCTCACTGGAAGAGAACATTCTAGTACCTTTTTCTCCAGACACTGAAGCATGCCAGGTCCTTATAAATACTTGGAGCTCAAAAAATAGCACTGAGTTTTCATTGATAGAAACCCCCACCACCACCACCAAGGCTGAAACTGACCCCATCAAACACTCTGTACCCGCCCATGTCCCCATAGCAGGCATAACCAAGTTAGTGCCCATTCTTGAATGAAGCGAGACTCCCAGGGTGACACAGTCAAGGGACAATGCAGACAGACTGTTTCCATCCCTAAACCTCCTCTGAATTTTCCAGGGACTCTCTCTTAAGAAGAGGCACATATCTCTGCTTTAGGAAGTTGGCGATTTTCAGTCCCCTGGTGTGTATCCAGGCCAAAGAAAACTCTTTAATAGTCCTTCTCACTCGATTACATTTTTAAAGGACTCATTAACAGAATGTAAATCTGATCATTTGAAAGAAGCAACGAGCTCCTGCCACAGGAGAAGGAACGCTGCGGACAGGGGTCTGTGGCAGGAAAGGCGCCCTGTGTGGCACCAGGCCACACCAAAAGGCTCATCTGGCTACCTGTACACACCACAGGCCCTGCCCAGGATCACACACCCAGTGTCCCACTCAAGAACGCCAGAGCTTATCACTCTCTGACTGTGTCCTATATCCCAGCACCTGTTCTGTGTGAAGGCGGCTACAGGTAGGTAAACCTAAGGGCAGCTGCTAACTTCATACCTGCTTTCTTAACATTCAGGGCTTTAAGGAACTTCTATGTGGACTGGGGATTAAAAAGCCCTTTAAATTCAGTGTTAAGGACCCACCTCTATGTTTAGCATTTACATGATCTCCATTCCAAAGCTGCCACGTAGGTTTTGTTTTTATTTGATTAATTTATTTTAGTTATGACATTCAGGACTGTGAAACATTTCTTTTCCCTGTGTATGAAAAATATTCCCACGGCCATTTCAAATGCAATGAACTTAGACAACACACAACGGGGCACAAAGTAGAGTTTTTACAAAACACCACAGTGGTGGATTAAAAAGTGTAAAATGCCGGGTGTGGTAGTGCTCGCCTTTATAATGCCAGCAATGGGGAGGCAGGCACACCTCTGTGAGTTTGAAGACAGCCTGATCTACAGTGAGCAGTGAGTTCCAGGTTAGCTGGGGCTACGGGGAGATCCTGTCTCAATATTAAAAAAAAAAAAAAAAAAAAAAAAAAAAAAAAAAAAAAAAAAAAAAGGTGTATACTGTCTATCAGAGCGTCCGCACTTCTGAGAGCTTACCACTCTTTCACCCGGCATACAGCCACAGCATCCCTGATAAATATGCACCTTATGGAAACAAGAGCCCCAATCCCAGGCCCACTGCTGACAGTGCCACAGAGGTGGTTAAATGAAGCACGTCTATGCAAAAGTTTTTTAATAACTTCTATTTTTTGAAAAATCCATTTTCGAGAAAACTTTTACAACTTTTAAGCTGATTCATAGTTATACAATTTCTACTTCATTTATGCAAAATGCATAAGCCAAGAAGATGGAAATCTGCGGGGCACGATGGGGCGGTGCACCTCACCCACAGCGGAGCTGCGCCTCACCCACAGCGGAGCTGCACAGTGCTGCCGGCTCTCTCCACCCAGGCGGACCCACTGACTGAGCTTTTCTCCACCTCGTTGGTGATTTTGTCACCTTCTCCTCTAATCTAAGTTCTCAGAGCAGCAACAGTGGCATTAAGTTATGGCGTGCATCCTCCGCAGATGCAAATGAGGGAGCTCCAGACGTTCCAGGGGGAGATGTACAGGCCTGCTACTCTGTAGACACCAGAGAGGGGACCGGGGGTGGCAGGCACTTCTCAACAGCCCAAATCTTGAACGGCCAACACACTTCCTGAAATATCTTGGTGCTGTCATCGCTCATTAAGTAATTACAGCTCATTCAGAAAATTTTGAGATTTCCTCCATGACAGTTGAAAAGAGGTCTTTGTTTCTTTTTTTTATAGATATCAGAGATGTACAGAATTAGGAGAAGTCAGCTTAAGACCTGGATCCTTTTTGGCTTCTGGAGACTTCTGCTGAAGACAGGGGAGTGGGGTCGAGTCTGGATGTGCCAGTGTCCCCAGCAGTGGCCTGCGTGAGTGCCACCTGCTCTGTGTGGACATGGTTACAGATAAGTAAGGCAGAGGGCACGTCCTGACTTCATATCCATTTTCACAACATTCAAGTGTTCATTTTAAGGAACTTCTCAGTATCCTTTAGAGAAGAGGGGCTTCTCCAAGCTTGGCCACAAGCCCATCATAAAACTCAGCATCAAGCCATGGTTTGGCCTCTCCGCCTGCAGAAGACGGTAGAGCTTGTCCTATGGAAATGAAGCAAGGTGTGGAGAGAGGGGCTTATCATCCTGGACAGCTGCTGCCCAACTAGGGCAGAGGCCAGGGAGGAACTCTCAGCCTTCCTCGATGCTTACAGAAGTGGGCCACGGCCAGCAGTACTGTATCTTGGTCTCATAGAGGAGAAAGAGGCAAGCTGACATCAGCTGCAGGCTCCCTACAAGGGCCAGTCCACTGGCCATGGTCAGCCATGTTCTGCAGCTGTTTATACAGGGAGAGAATTAACCAAGTATCTCCCCCTGGTTACACAATGCCCAGCACATCAGCTGGTGCTCAGTGAAGAACCACCATCATACTATCACTACCACTATTATCACTATGACTGAGTGAGAGTTTCCCAAAGGCACCTGGGACTCCGAGATCTGAGAGCTCCACCCACATCACTTGCCTTTGTCAAACTCTGAGTATGTGGTCACATCCAAAAGTACATATCTGAACTGTGATGAGCTTTCTGTGCCCTCCCCTTTCTGGTTTAACTCTCGTCAGGGCTGTGAGTCATGCGAACACAGCCCTAAGAAAGTCCCTAGCCCCAGGTATTGGGATGTAGTTCAGAGGTGGTGTTTGACTACCCAGATGAAGGACTATGTATCCCTAACTGAAGGCAGGACCTTGTGTTTCCTTAACCAGAGTACTCTCTCCCTACCTACAGACAGGAAACTTCCTGCCCTCCGAATAGAACACTTTCTCCCTACCCAGTGATAGGACACTGTCCTTCTACTGAGAGACAAACTGGGCCAGAGGCAAGAGGAGCTCATGAGCAATCTTGCATCCACACCTGCCTACCAGGCACACCATGTCTAGAAACCCATCCTTCACTGTAAGGCCCTGAGTACTACCATGGCATCTCTCGAATCCGTCCATCCTAAGGGCTGAGGCAGAGTGTCATAATGCTTGGTTCTGCTTCAAGCCACACCCCATTCATTCTACTGAAGCCGCTTTCCCAGTTTCCACGTCTGCACGTGTACCTGAACCTCAAAACAGGGGAGCCCCAGGCTTCAGCACCCGCCCCCCGCAATCGCACTCATGGGGTCCACTCTCCAGTCACTGGTAACATACAGAGGTGTTTCTAGATTCTGGGAAAGAAGTCATAACAGGAATACGAAGAGGACTTTACATGAGCACCATAATGGGAAAGCCAACATGAACCACAGCAGCTTTACACAGAGGCAGTTTATTTCCTGACTAATACCGCTACCAGTCCAAAATTGATACAGTCCAAATGATACATGCCTATAAAAAGAAAATCAGCAGGGCCCAGAAGTCAGAGACACAAACTTCACAGTTTCACCAGACAAAAAACATACCCAGGTTACATCAGTACACACTTTGTGCTATGTGCCTGGTGTTTACCCACAAAGATGCCCTCTGTCATGAAGCCAGCCCCACACAGTCCACGGGCCCAGGGCTGAGGCGGACTGTGTGCCCCCAACTTCCTTGCCCTGCTCACTCCTCGGGTATGTGGAAAGGAACGAGGGCACACACCAACAAAGCCCAGTGTGCCTTGTCTGACCCTGAAACCACCGTGCCAGCTTCTGCTTTCTTCCACTGAAGCTTTGTGCTTTACCTCCTGAGAAGCCATCCAGGAAGGTAAAACGGTAACACACACTTGAGGTGATAAAAAGGTAAACAGGACGCATGTGAGGGTCTTATGCCTAATAACCCAATTTAACAATACTGGGGATGGGATTCTAAGCGCCACAAAATAGTCACCATGACAAGGACTTACAGTGATGGTCGAAATTCGCTAAATTGTTAGTGAAATAAATTGCTTTCCACGAGTAATAGCTTAGTGTAAAAGAAACACCTAGAATACATTTAGTAGACAATAAAACTGCAAAGTTGGAGCACCTCAATTACTTTTTAAGGCGTATCATAAAATTTTATCAACAGCACCTTCAACATAAAGAAACTACCAGAAGAAGGAAAATTTATAAGAAAATATGCACGTTTGGCCAAAAGTGAAAATGAGAAACCAGACATAAATTATCTGCCTCTGAAATGTTGGTTGGCTTCCTCTCCGACATGGACACCTCTGGAATCACGGAAAGGACGGCCTTCGGTATCAGGCTGCTCACTGTCCTTTAAGAACGTAAGTTCCTAAAGGATCCAGTTGGCAGCTGAAAGGAGAGAGGTGGGACTGGGGTGTGGGAGAAAATGGCCTTTGGGGGAAGCCACGGTCATGCCTACGCATCCAAGCATGTGTCTTGGGGCACTTACAATGAGTTCGGAATCCCGCCCCATGGAAATGACCGTCCGGTTCACTGTCCTGAGAAGTTTCTCCATGATGATCTGGATGTGCCTCTGAGTTGGCCCCTGGAGGAAGAGATGCCAATAAAAACCAACAGCACAGATCATCACGGACCCACCAACCCCAGTGCTTGTCACTGAAGGCCGCTGCTCTGTGGAGAGTCAATCAATTACAACCCTTAACGAGATGAAAAACAGTCTTTGTCAAAGGCAAGAGCCTTCCCAAAGAAAATTCAAGGCATTTTATTAATTATAGCCCATTAATGGCAATTTGTTACATAATCATAGTAAATTAATTTAAGCAAACCTTAAAACGAAAAGCAAACCCACTTAAACAATATAATGTTTATGATCCCTGGTGAGACCACCAATTAGTCTTCCAGAGACACTCGGCCATCTGTAAGCGGAAGGCAGGCAGATAACAACCCAGACGGCTCCGTGTGTCACATCCCGATAACTCAACAGTCACACAGAACAGAATGTTTTAGTACCAGTTGAGCAAATTATCTAAAATTCACAGTGCCATGCGGTCTTCTACAAGGGAGAATTTATTCTCTTGTCTGAAGGGAAATGGAATTGTGGATTCTCCTCCATGTGCACGATCTCACTTAGTCATTTACCGCACCCATCTATCTCTATCCTCCTCAACACTGGCCCACAACCTCTCTGTCCAACCTGTCCTCCAACGAGAAAAGCAAAGAGCCTGACACGGAAGCACGGGGGGCTGGGCCTGGAGAGAGACTCCAAGGCCTGTACCGGGCCCACATCCCTGAAGAACTGAAGCCATTCCCACATCCAGCAGACCTGCATTCAATCCCTTGAGCACTAAACACACTTAGGGAGGGGATAGTCAGTCATCACTGTCAACTTTGTTGGACTAAGGAATATCTAGATCATATCTAGCTAAACCTTTGATGAGTTTGTGAGGATGTTCGCAGAGAGGAGAGGCTGTGTGGATGCCATGCCATTCTGCAGACTAGAGTCCCGGACTGCATAAATGGGTGAAAGGAGGAAGTCAACTGAACAGCAGCAAACTCTCTATCTGCTTCCTGACCTGCTCACAGAATGTGCAGCCTCCTTCAGGGACATACAGAAGCTGGCTTTCCCTCCACGATGGACTGTGTCCTGAACTGTGAGCCTAAATCTCCCTTAAGTAGATTCCCGGTAAGCATTTGGTGACAGCAGGTAGAAAAGCAGCTGAAACTCGGAGAATGATTTACTGTTGAAAGGGAGGAGAATCCAGGGTGCGTGTGTGTGTGTGTGTGTGTGTGTGTGTGTGTGTATGAGGGCATGAGTGTGTATGTGTGCATGTGTGCATGTGTTTGAGACTGTATGTGTTTGTGAGTGCTTGCATGTATGTGCATAAGTGTATGTGAGTCTGTGTGTGAGTGTGTATGTGTGCATGTACATAAGTGGTGTGAGTATATGTGTGTGTGAGGGTGTGTATGTGTGAATATGGAAGAGTGTGTGAGACTGTGTGTGAATGTGAGTGTGTGCATGTGCATGTCTAAGTGTGTTTATGTGTGAGCATGTGTCTGTAAATGTGTGAGTGTGAGAGGGGATGTGTGTGTTGACCAGGAAGATGTTCGGGTCATATAGGAAAGACCTCAGAAAAGCGCTGTCTATTTAAAATCCTGAGTAGGGCTAGCGAGACGAACAGGGCCCTGTTTCCAGGATTCCAGAATGCCTTTAGAATGGATGACATTACCCGTATGCACACACATGCACAAACACAAACATACACATATATGGTGTTCTGGTGTTGAAAGAGTGAGACTTTTCTCACGTGCACCCTCACTACATGTTGATTAGAAAAATAGAAACCTGTGTGCACGTTTTAATAAAAGTAAGAACTGTGAGCCGGGCATGGTGGTGTGGGCCTTTAATCCCAGCACTTGAGAGGCAGAGGCAGGCGGATCACTGTGAGTTCAAGGCCAGCCTGGTCTACATAGTGAGTTCCAGGACAGCTGGGGCTACAGGGAGACCCTGTCTCAAAAAGACCAAAGGAAAAAAAAAAAAAGTAAGAACTGTAAGGAACAATGTGGGTAACCAGCCACCGAAGCCTTTTAGCTGCTTGTCAGGATTAACATCCAGGGCGCAGGAGGCATTTTACCAAGACGATATAGGAAATAAAAACTTAATTTCAATGTGGAAGGATGGACATTGCAATGTAATAATCATGACTTGCATAAATAAAACTAATTCCAGGGTCAAACCCCTCAGAAAGAGAGGCTGAAATGAAGGTCACTGCTTTTGCAATAAAGCACGTCTGTTTGTAGCGCATTGCCAGGGCTTGGGTGATGCAGTGGATCTCAGTGATCCTAGAGGGCAGTGGGCACCTCCATGACTTACCACGTCCTTCTGGTAAAGCACCTCCAGGATGTCGCTGAGCAGCTGGCAGCAGGCCTCCAGGTCCTCCTGCCTCTCCAGGTGGTGCTTGAGTTGGTCAGTCATCATGGGGAGCAGAATCTCTCTGCAGTCTGCATGGGACACAGGATTGCTGGTCAGCAGGAGCCACCGAGGTGTCCCTCAGGGCTGCCAGAAGCCCATGCATTCTCTCAAGTGTCAGGATAAACAGGGTGCAACACGGAAACTGACACCTGCAGGAGGCAGTGGCCAGACCACGGGGACACCATTTCTACTGCCGACCGTCAGCCATACACACGGACCTACATCTATTGGCAGGTTTCCTCATAAACAATTCACAAACATACATACACCCAGAAGTTTGTACACATGCTGGATTATTTAGTGCCTCTTCTATAAATTCATCAGTTTGCAACATTAAAAGGAATACTTATTCCAAGAAAACTGCAGATTTTCAGTTTGTTCCTAGAACCAGCAAGGTATGGGCCCCTCTTCCTAAGTGGAAGAAGTCAGTTCTAGGATGGGACAATGGCCTTCTCCTCCCAGAGAACATCCCTGAAGTAGGCAGAGGGGATAAGAAAATGGAAATCAGGGCGAGAGACTTGGCTCTGGGAAACAGAACTGAGAAATGAAGGGGAACGCGGGGTTTGAGGACCGGCCAGAGGAGGTAAGGGGTCAAAGCGCAAGCCATACCTGCCACCGTGCCATGTTAGATGGCCAGAGTACACCCGCCCCTTCTCAAGTTCCTTCTTCTCAGATATTTGGTCACAGAAATAAAAAAGTAACTCATAGATTTACTTGCTGATTCCACAATTTAATAATTCATGGGCAAAAGTGACACATAGGAAGCTGGACACTGCATGTATGGGCTGGAGAAGGTGCCCAGAGTTTTCTAGGATCCTGCAGAAGTCCAGGGACAGGGGCTATGGCACAAAGCAAGGGGCTGCCTGAGGCAGCAAACTGGCCCCTTCATGCCCAGCTTCTGGTGACAGGAGACCACATCTCCAACCCCTACTGTCTCACCTGACCCTGCAATGACCCCATGGAGGAACTGAGGTCCTTACAGATTGGACCTTGCCCCTTGAACTTGAGAGAAATGTTCCAACACGCCAAGGTATGCTGCCACTGAGGAGATGGCTTAGCCCAGACAAAGAGTGTCTACAGGAAACAGCACAAAACAATGACACCACAGGGAGTTAGTACAGCCTGCAACATACTGCCAACACACAGACCAAGCCTGGGTGCCCCTCCTATAGAACCCAGTGTTCACAAACTATATCCACCCTCAACATCTGCAGGCCTCAGCCACAGTCAACAACCAAGGCAACAGCCAACGAGCCAGAAAGATTCCTCGGCAGTCTTGCCCGAGCCCTGCCCTGCATCCTGGACCCTCCTGAGCAGCCCTCACTCAGTATCTTCCTTCTGATGGAAGCACATGACCCCCAAATGTCCAACTCAGCATGAAGCAAGCCCTAAACACTTGGTCACCATCCCTGTGACTGTCACCACTCTGAAGGCCATGTGAATGTCCACATTATGTAAGATGGAGGAAGCAGAGTGACTACCTCAGGCAAACTGACAAAGACGCCAACAAGGCAAGGCTCTGAGCCAGCTCAGAAGGGACCTGAGAAAGGTAGAAGGCGTCGTGTACTGGCCAGCATAGGCCCGAAGATGGCAGTGTCCATGAACAACTCCAAAAAGTCAGAGCTGTCCCTTCAGGCTCTGGGACTCAGATACCCTGGTCTAAATCCAGTCCTTGTGGTCCCATTTATCTGTTGTGCTGGGCAGGCAGTTGTGGACAGCACTGTTCTTGGAACTAATTGAGCGTACTGGTTTCATTTATCAGAGCTACCTCAGGGTGAGGGGGATATGCTGACATGTTTATCACAGATAGGGAAGATGCTGCCTACCCATGTCTGGCTCTCTCACTGGAGCACCCACAAACCACCCAGGCCCCAGCTGTGCCAGCTTCCCTCTGTGTCTGTTACCCTCTCCTGATTGTTAGGGTTTGGATCTACAGCAACCCCTCCCCCCCAATGCAACAGGGCCTCATGGTTTTGGAAGCCCTCTGGAATTACAGGGACTGAGTTAATGAGCACCCTGACTGCCTACAGACAAGATAAACAGACTCCCTACACCTATGACCCAAGCCCTGATCGCTGCAAGAGCTGTTTCAGCCCCGCCTGATTCCCCTTTGATAATCTTAGAAGATAAACAGACCCCTTATCCCACGACCCAGATCCTGGCTGACGGACTCTGATCGCTGCAAGAGCTGTTTCAGACCCGCCTGATTCCCCTTTAACCTTAGAAGATAAACAGACCCCTTATCCCACGACCCAGATCCTGGCTGACGGAAGGTGGCGGTTTGGCAGAGGCTGTCCTCTCCTAATAACTCTTGGACTCCCTCCCCCACCTAACTTGTTTTAAAAAATATCTCTCTGCCTTCCACATCCCCCCAAACCCCCTATAAAAGCCCCCAGCCAACAGCCTGTAAACCGACAGCTTCCCCATCCCAAACTGGAGACTGTCCCGTACATTTTCCCTGCCAATAAACTATCCTGCCAGAGTTCTTGTCTATCCTGGTGCTTTCTCCTGATTTGGACTCAATTTACCTATCACTGATGAGACACAAATTTCTTGAAAACTTCACTGCCATTTTGTCATGTTTAAAGATACTTCCAGGCAGGTGTGAAGACATATCTGTAATGCAATACTCAGGACTAGTGTCTAGCTCTACTGGGGTCAAGGATACAGTCACTGTGAAGATAAATGAGACAATGTTGAAGGCAGGAATCTGCGCAAGTCAGTGTCTAAGGAGCCACAGGAAAGATCACCAGGCCCAGCACCACCAGCATCAGAAAATTCCCACTGCACACTAGTTCACACCTGATCACTGATGGACAGATTCACCAGGCCAGGCAGCAGGGCTGACAGACTTCCTTGAAGGCTAGAGGCCACACTGCCCACACCAAGGATCCAGAACAGGTCTTGGTGGACACCGGGTGGTTTGCAACAGTGGCCATCACTGGGCCCCCAAACCCACTGCATGCATACCCTCAAAGGAAGAAAGACAATACCCCAGTATCACTCAGGACCTGACCAGAGTCAGAGGCCAAGGAGCCAGGCAGCACCTTCTAGTGACGCGTGCTCTGAAGGTCTCCACACAGAGATCCAAGGCCAAGTTTCATGATCCACCATAAATACTGACTGCATTATACTGCTTCTTTTCACCAGAAAGTGAACTCTGTGAGAGGAGAGCCTCACGTTCTCGTTAAGAGGAATAATCCCAGTGTACAAGCCCTGAGAGGGTATGTTGAGTATGCGAATGTATGCTTGTGTGAGTGAGCGTGTATAGGTATGTGTGTACTGTGTGTGTTTATATTTGTGTGTGAATGTGTTTGAGTGTATAAATATGTATGTGATTTGTGTGAGCGATTGTGTACAAGAATGTTATGTGCATGTACTATGTAAGAGTGTGTGTCTGTGTGTGTTTGGGCATGAAAGAGTTCCTATATTCACGAACTTTCTTTCCGCGTGGAGCAGTTGCTTAGCATTTACTCCATTTTATCTGTGAATCACGCAATTCGCACTTGCTAAGTGGTAAGGAAGTCCTGCTGTCTGCAGCAGCCCAGCCCCTCCTTGGCAGAGAGCTGAAGGACAAACACACCTTAACAGAGCTCTTCTGCCTTATTGGGGATTCAGTTTGACAATCTGGACAACAGCAAACAGGTGAACAAGCAGGTACGCACATGCATGTTGATTTGGTTTAATGCGTGATTACAGGCAGTTAAAAGCAGAGCTCTTGCCTAGTATTGTCTCCAGACCTCAAGGAAAGGTAGAAGGCAAACCAAGGAAACTAATGCCTTAGAACGGCCTTAGACTGGATCACCCCACAGGGCAGGCACTCTACTACCTGCACCCAAAGCACGAAATAACACAAGTTCTAGAAAAATCTCCTATTTTTATTTGTTGAAACAAGGGCTGGTGATGTAGGCCAGGCTAGCCTGTAACTTGCAATCCTACCTGAGTCTCCTGAATACTGGGATTAAAGACAAACACAATTCCCTGTTTAAAGCTTTATTTTTTTTCAAAATTTTTTATTTATTATTTTTATTTTATGTGTATGTGTGTGTTGCTTGAATGTAGGTAAGTGCACCCATGTTGTACAATGTCCAAGGAGGTCAGAAGAGGCTGTCAGATCCCTTGGGACTGGAATGATGGACAGTTGTTAGCTGCCATGTGGGTGCTGGAATTCCAACCTGGGTCCTCTGCAAGAACAGCCAGTGTTCTTAACTGCTGAGCCATCTCTCCAGCCCCCCAAAGCTTTATTTTTAAAGGGGCTTTGCCTAGCTTGCATTTCAGTCTACAGGCTGCTATGTGTTCTCAAAAAGTGGCAGGACAAACAATTTAAATAACAGTCAGACCCTCAGTTTTTGAGATGCCAGGAAGGCAATCCAGGAGCTGTGTGAGAGGAAGCCTGGGACGGAGACACCTGTAGGCAAGGGCCTGACAACAGACGCTGGCTCTGGGAGAAGAGGCAGAAGTGTCTCCTGCCCCATGACCAAATTCCAACTGGGCATGTGCAATGCCCTTCCCTATGGGGAGAATGGCATCTATGGAAGCCCAGAGAAACAGAAACAATAAAAGAAACACCAGGAGCTCTTTGCCCAGCACAATTAAAAAAACAAAACAAACAAACAAAAAACCTATATTAAAGGGAAAACACATTTTAAATAAACTACTGGAACATACCCTATTGAAAGCTCCAGAATAAATAAATGCCTGCCTAGAAGTCTAACATACCCTGATTCATACTGTAAGATTCCGAAAAGGGCTTATGGTCAGTTCATTGACATCTGTAAAGGAATAATAAAATCCTAATACATACACACACACACACAAACACACACACACACACACACACACACATTTAAAACAAAAGGAGCATTATTTGGGAGGAGGAAGAGGATGAGTCACTGGGAAGGAGTGGATGGGAAGGGGTAATGGGAAGTGAATTTAGTCAAAATATGTAACATACTTAAATAAAAATCACAGTGAAATTCATTACCTTACATAACAAACATATACTAAAATTTTAAAGTACAGCTTATCT